TCACAGTCACTGGAGGAAGCAAGCCTCCCTGCTCGCTTCAGTGCATGTCTGCCGGCTGCCATCTTGGCTGACAGTTAATTTGCATAAGGATATGCTGATTAGCCAATGGGAAGGGTAGCGGTCGTACTCTAATTACCACGCCCAATTACCATGTTTCTCTTATATATATATATATATATATATATATATATATATATATATCTATCCTATCTATCTATCTTTATGTATCTTTTACAGATATATAATTATATATAAAGTTGTTTCTGTTCTCACAGAGTTTACATTCTAATGGGAAGGTGTAAAGACACCCACATAATGGAAAAATAGGTCAGCCTGTTACGTGACAGAAGGAGTACTTGTGCCACGGTACTTGGGCAGTTTGAGAAACTTAGCTCACCTCTTATATGAGAGATACTTGCTTCCATAATGAAGTCAAGCTGCTATCCATAACTCCATGTTACTTTTTCCAAACACATGGATTCTTATGAGTGGTATTTTAGAGAACAATGCTGTGTAACAAAGGCATCCAGATGCCATCCTCCTGATCACCTATAGACCATCTAGGGAAGTGATTCTGAACTTGTGAAGCAGGGCTCATTAAAACATATTCTGGGCCCCATTCCCAGAAGTTCTGATGCAGATCTGGGTTGGACCAGAGAACTTGCATGCAGCTGGCATGGGCTCACACTTCCAGAACCAAAGTTATCCTTGATTTTTCCCTGTTGCTTGCCTTCCAATCCACACTGACACCTCCATGTCCCCAGTCTTTCCCTCTCATCCCCATTCCTCTGATTTTTGTTTTTTTCTCTTGGGAGGAAGCATAGAGGAGTCCTGCTTTGTTCCACGGGAGGATGTTTTGTGTTATCTTTGTTTTTTTCTCTGATTACCCTAACTCTTGGTGTCCTTCCTCACACATTTTATAAAGATGCCTTAAAGTGAACCTGGAAACTCCTAGAAGAGATGAAGTCCTACTATAGTTTGTTTGGCAGAAGAAAGAGCAATTAGGTGAGAGATTTTCTTTTACTCTTAAAATTATCCTTAAGAACTCAGGGAAAAAATGTTCATTTTATGAAGGCAGTTCAAGGGAAACCTAAGGAGTATCACATTGCCTCAGTATTTGAATTCCATGGAGGAAGGAAACACGTTGAGAGCTTATTATTCAGAGGTTGGATACAGTCAAAGAAACTTAATGTCTCCTGGGAGGAGGGGATAAAGTAATAATGATGATAATCTTTTTTTAACATTAAGTAGTACTTTACCTTTCATGAAAAGCTCTCCCATGCATCATACCTTTACAGCTACTCAAATGGCAGGCAAATTATTATTTCCATTTTAAACTCAAAGAAACTGAGGGTTATGAAATTAAGTGGCTTGCGTAAGGCCACAATTAGAGGAACCAAACTCAACCCAAATAATCTAATTCCAGTACAATCATCTTTCACTTATGTACTCACTCTATGTTTTAGTATTATAATCATTTTGGAATATGCTTTATAACCAGGACTTCCTTGGTTCTCTAAGGTAGAGCTTTACTCCAAAGTAAATACCATAGACTACTTATTTGTCTCAAACACTTCCTTTCAATGAATATGTGGATCATTAACATACAGCTACACAGAATTTTACTTGGAATCCAATTTCAAAATTGATTTTCTGCAGTTGTTGAAAGCAAGTATCACTTACATTAAACCTTGGAGCTACTGAAATGCAAAGCCAGTTACCATGCATAGCAGTTGTGATGCCAAGGATCCACATTTCTTTTCGTTGAGCTCTGTTAATATTCTTTATTGGCAGGATTCTTTTCGTTAGACTACAGGTAAGAACACAAAATCCATTCCTACTCTTCCAGGTATCCCCAGTACTTCCTAGAGTCTTTCTAGACCAACATTTGGACTTTTTGCTCTAAATTTTTATCATTTCTACTGGGCTTCTGTGAAGTTGAGAGGCCCCACTTTTGTGATGTTTTCCCAAGAAATTTAAGAGAACTTTGTTTTAAAATGTGGGCCACAGGGAATCCAGGTCCTGCATTACTTCCATAGACCAGACTGTCTTGCCTTTTGAAAATCTCGACCACTTATTCTTAAACTTTGTTAGTTAGGTTATGGTCTCTTCAGTGAGACAAAGTCTGGATAGATAGATGGTCCTTCCGAACTGACATTCCAAATAATTCTGGGATGAAAGAGAAGAGTGTTGTTTCTTTTAAATGAGGTGCTAGAGTGATATATGTACATTATTAATTGTTCTCAGATGTGGCCAAGCTATACACACCAATACAAACACCTTCATAATTTACTGAGGACTCTCATAATTTACTACATATCCAAAGGCTACACTTTAAGCATTACTTAGATTTATAAAATGCTTTTACTTATAGCTTTTGAACCTATGATGCATAAATGTGCAAACCCATTGCTGGTTTTCTTATGGGCAAATCTAATTATTTGGGTTAACCACGGAATTCTCTGGTGAATCCATTGGATAAATGTGTTTATGCACCAAAAAGACAATTTCTGGTAGTACACTGAAAATTTTATGTTGCAAATTAAAGCCTTATTTCAATATGTTATCTACTAGAATGTGTGAATTTCATCTCTGCTAGGTCTACTGGAAGAGATGCACAGGAGAATAGAAATGTTTTTTCAAGGCCAGCAAAGTCAAGTTTGGCTAAGAAGAAACTTCCACAAATGGTTTCTTTTTGCCCTTAATCCTTAGTTTTATGGTTTATAAGACAGCTATTTAGAGAAGGAAAGAACATAAACTATGTGAGAGTACTCTGTAAACCATAAATTGCCACATAAATAAAAATATTACTATTTGGTTAATTTACCAAATAATGATGATACCCATACCACATGAAAAATTTCCTTGGTTGATCTCAGGTTATTAGCGCATTCACATTTGCCCCAAGTAAACATCATGACTCACCGCTACCTGATTTTCTTCCTAAATTCAGCAGAGAATCAGTATGTTCTTTAAGAGGTGTGAAAACTGTCACCTTTAAAAACAACTCATTTGCATAAAGGTACGTACATGACGTCCTGACTTAAGTTGAACTGCAAAGAAGGAAAAGTTCACCTTAATGTTCTAGTGTAGCTGCTCCCTTCCTTGTTGTGCACCTGGTCTCAGTGTCTGTTGCTCTGGCTATTCTTGCTAGCGGATCTGAGAAACAAGGTTGCTTTGAGGAGCTAATTTGATTGCATGTATTGTATGTAATTCAACGTGTAACTTTCTCCTGGCAACGTATTTGTCATTTAACAGGGATATTCTGGAAACAGAGGTTTACCAGAAGAGTGACTCTCATAATCAGAATTTCAAAAATAGTGATCATTGTTGGAAAAGGTATTTTTTAGGGATAAGAGACTCTATGAGAAATCTTATCACATATGTGGTCCCTAATATGAAAGATATTCGTGGTTCTTGCTTCTATGTCTGTCCCATTTTGGAGCTAGGAAAGAGCACTAGCTGGGAGGCCATATCTTAGCTCTAGAACAGTGGTTCTCAACCTTCCTAATGCCGCGACCCTTTAATACAGTTCCTCATGTTGTGGTGACCCCCAATTTCATTGTTACAAATTGAACATAATTAAAGCATAGTGATTAATCACAAAAACAATATGTAATTATATATGTGTTTTCCGATGGTCTTAGGCGACCCTTGTGAAAGGGTCGTTCGACCCCCAAAGGGGTCACGACCCACAGGTTGAGAACCGCTGCTCTAGAATCAGAATCCAGGGAAGAAATACCATCTTGTCCAACTACTCACCTGATGACTGAATCGCTTCTACAACATCCTTAGAAAGTGATCATTCATTCTCTCCTTGAACACCTCTAATTATAGGAACTCACTCCCTCTGGAGGCTGTCTATCCCATCTTAGAGCGGCTCTGACTGTCAACAGTCATTTTATTTTGTGGAAAGAATCTCCTTATTGTTTCCAGTCATTGGTCCAGTTCTACCTTTGGCCCCAAACAAAACAAGCTTACTCTTTCTTCCCTCCCAATCATTTACATAAACTTAATAGTGCTAACAACAGCTATCACTTACAGAGTGCTTATGTGTTAGGAATTATTTTTAATAACTTCATTACAGATTAATTCATTTAACCCTAAAAACAGCACTAAATTAAAGATCTATCACTACTGTTGCCATTATATTGACGAGGACACTGGAGTATAGAAAGGTTAAGTAATTTTCCCAGGGTGACAAAGTTCAGTAGACACTAAATCTAAATTCAAACCCAAGCAATCTGGCTCCAGAGTTCCAGCTTAACTACTACATTATGCTGTCCTTGAAGCTGGACTGAGGATGGCTTATATGATGCTCTGAGTCTTCTTTTCTGCAGTCTGAGCATCCCAGGCCCTTCAACTGTGATTCATATGCTAAGGCTTTGCGTCCCTAGTCACACTCCTCTGAATTAGTCTATTATTCTTTTAAAAGGTAGTACCCAGAACAGACTGTGGTCTCTAGATGTTGAAATGGAGAATAAGCAATAGAAAATAGAGTGAGTCTATCACTCTTCTTCATTTCAGGGACCACAAATGCAGCTTAAGCTTGCATCAACCTTGCTGTGGCCTCTTCAAGCTAATGGTTCATATAGAACTTACTGCAGACTAAAACCCTCATTCCTGCTCTACTTAATGACTTTTGTCTGTAAAATGAGGTTATTGCAGTATAGGATCTCCAAGGACTTTTCCAGTTATAAGCATCTTGAGTCAAAGTTCAATGTATTTAAAGGATGTTGTGCCTGTAAATTCTTTATCAGGCTTTTCCCCATTTGGCCTTTCTCCGAAAGGGTTTCTGTGAGTTTGTCTTTTGGTGGCAGGATGCTTTGTTTCTATGATGGGGGCACAGTTAGGACTTCTAAAGGATGGCTTATAGTGGCGTCTCCTTAAAAATCTGAAATGTGACTCCAAACCTTCCCTTCTACCTGCTGTCCTGCCCCTCCCTTCCCACTGTCCCCTCACACCCACCCACTGCCAGATTTCCGGGGGCCTGCACTCACCTGTGTGGACAAACATGTGCTTGACGTAGTTCTGTTTGGCGGTGAAAGTCTTGTTGCAGAGAGTGCACTCGTAAGGCTTTTTTTCGCCCTGCCCACTGGCTGTGCTGTGGCCTGCAGATGGGGCCAGGGGCTGTGGCGCTGGCAGCTGTGCAGTAAAGGTGGACAGGCCGGGCTGGGACACTGTCACAAACTGGGTCTGCTGACCTGTCAAGGGTTGTGGCAGGCTGAAGAGGAAAGGCTTGGGGCCGCTGCCTGCGGGCTGGGTAGTGAAGAGGGCCGGCAGGTAGGTGTTGCCGGCTGTGCCAATGACCTGTGTGTTGCTGGTCAAGGTCAGAGGCATCCTCAAGTTGCTGGTGAGGGTTTCTGTCTGGCGTAAGTAGAGCTGGGTACCTGGCAATGGCTGCCCGATGGACGTGTTGACCGAAGGCTGCTGCAGGACGCTCTTGTCGGAGCTGTTGCTGACAGTGATGACAGTGTTGTCCATCTCCGCCTCATTGCTTCTTTCTGGAGAGGAGGCGCCTGTCTCTAGCTGGTGTGGCTGTGCACTGCCCTCTGCAGCGGCTTCCGAAGCCTGCTCAGGTTGGGCGGGCTCAGCCTGGCCATCCCGCGCCACCCCAGGCCCGAACTGCTGCTCCACGGAGTCGGGCTCGGTGCCTATGGAGGAGCTGACGCCCGAGTCGAAGCTTTCACCCTTGGGCTCACTCTCGGTGCCCTCGGCCTGGTCAGTGTCTTCCGTGCATTCCTCGGACTCATTGCGTTCCAGGATCTGCACCCTTTGCTGCCCATAGTAGTCGTAATCGTCCTCCATCTCCTGCTTGATGTGGATATTGCCGACCAGGGTCTGGATGCGCACGGGCCGGGGCTGCTTGCGGCAGTGCGTGGTCTCGGGGGTGGTGGACAGGTAGCGCTCCATCTGCTGCGAGCGCTCATGGATGCGCGTGATCCAGCTGGGGTCTTCCATGTGGTGGTCGCGGGGCAGGCCGAGCGCGGTCTCGTGGTGGCTGACCACCGCGCCGCTGTAGAAGGAGCGCTCGCCGCTGCCGTTCTGCATGGAACACGCGTAGAGCGCCGAGTAGATCCTGTCCACGCTGTGCTGAGAGTGGCTCTGCAGGTAGCCAGACTCCGTGTCGCTGCTCTGACCCGATGTGCCTGACTCAGGCGTGCCCCGCGGAGTGTCCTGGCCTGAGTCCTGGATCCCCGGGAACACATCGCCCACATTCTGGGACACGATGCGCGTGCACTCATCGATGACTGTTTTAATCTGCAGGATGCTGGCGGCCGTGAGGATCTGCAGGGCTTCTGACTGCGAGACTCGCAGCACGCCGCTGTACATGAAGTCAATGAGCTTCTGCACCGACTGCACCGACACCACGGACGGGATCTCGATGTCGCTGTAGCCCAGCAGCAGCTTGTCCTGGAAGAAGGGGCTGCCGGCGGCCAGCACGCAGCGGTGTGCGCGCAGCATGCTCCCGTGGATGCGCACCGTCACGTCACAGAAGTGGCCACGGTTGCGCTGCTCGTTGAGGGTCTCGAGCACGGAATTGCTGAAGTTGTGAAGGTTGATGCTGTGAATGCGCTCGGTCATCCCCTTGCAACTGATGTCACCTGCGCGGCAAGACAGACACAAAACAGAGCGTGGGTCAGAGCTAGCTGCTCAGGTGGGAAATGCTCATGGCTCCTAGAAGCACTCCCTTGGCAGACACAAAAGGGCTCTGTGGGAGATGGACAGGATTTGCACAGAGGTCACGCTTCAGGTATGATGTCCTATGGGAAGAAGTCCTTCAATTGTGCCCCAACAGTGTCCCAGCTATTTGGGGGTATTGAATCAAACTAAGAACTGGAAGACTTATTCTCAAGGAACAGTACTACGTTGGACAGGCCTAAGTCCATGTCCTTTGGGAAAGCTTATATTTTCCCCAACTTATCAAAGTTCCTTATTTTATTCATAAACTACCATAATAGTCATAGTAAAAAATAAATGTCCTTGCTGTTAATTTATGTGGCATATTCCCCAAACCCACACCATGTATACAAAGATTCTTGGAAAAGTCAACCAAGACTAAGATGTTCACCCAACAGCTGCTACCACATTTTCCAAGAGAGGGATGAGTTATAGAATGCAACCTGCCAGCTGCAGGGGCATTTGCTTTCTGTATCTACAGAACATTCTACCTATGACATTTTTCTTGTCATCTCTGACAATCAGAACTTTCTAGGCTGGCTGTATACCATGTGATGGTTTTCTGAATTTTTGGAGGCTTAATGAGGAAGGAATGTTGAAAAGGTCAGAGATGGCAACATTGATCTGGGAGACTGGCATACTGATCATATTTACATTCCAACTGGGCACTGTGAGAGTGAAAGGAACACTGTTAATAAGTTGGGACAGCAGGACTAAACCAGGAGTGGGATGTCTGAACACCCTAGGTAACTGGGTGCTCCATGTACTTGCTAGAGGGAAATACCAAACACTCTTGGTCGGAAGGCAACGGTCAGCTCTGCAGAGGCAGTGGACAGCCTGACTCATCACCATCTTTATGCCCCAGGCTGTGCAGGTGAGGAATAATGTTAGTGACATTTGCGTCACAGATTGAGAAAGAAAACAGGTGGCTATAACGATCAGTCTTAGGGCTTCCTTCTTTTTCTCTCACCTCTCAAATGGCTCTAAAGAATCCCTCTCTCTAAACCACTCTTCAGTCAGATTCCCCATTCTTGCTTCCTAACTGAATAGACAGCTTGAGAGAGGGAGACCATGTAGGTGGGCTTTCAAAACCAGGTGGCGTAAGTACTACTGACTGTAGGCCTGTGACCCAGCTCCATGTGTCTTGTTGGACAGAACCCCAGAGGTAATGGCCTGCAGACAGCTCCTTGGGGTCTTTCCCCTCTGCCTTAGGAGAGAGAACTTGCACAAGGAAGTCTGAGCTCAGCTAGAGGTTCTATGTTGCTTTACTCAATCTCCTCACGTTGTCCTCACTCAGTCGTGGGACCACATCTTTTTATATAGCCATTCATTTTTTTGGTTCCCATTTTTACATTTAGTCAGCTTCACACATATCCACTTAATGTAATAAATGCCTACAGGCTCTTTGTTCACTCTCAGTGATATGAATTGCACAAGTTTTTACAGAAGAGAATTGCTTCTGTTTCAACTTCCTAAAGTTCCTTCCTAAAATAGTTCATTAGGATATTGTTATTATTTTTTTTCACTCATGTAAAACAAATTTTCTTTGCCAGATTAAAGAATCATGGTGAATCCTCTATAATTGTGTTAATACAAAATATGGCCCCAGAGGGAGGCCCCAATAACCCAGGAAGGAATATTAAGGAGAAAAATCAGCAGACCAAACACCATGCTCTTTTTGAGACCCCCCCATGTATTTGTAGCATGATAATAATAAGAGCAAACTTTTATTTACTTTTTTTTTAACCAGTAGAGCTTACCTTGTGTCAAATCCTATCTACTGGTCTAACTACTATATGTATATTATTTTATTTAATCTTCAGAACAACCCTATGATGTAGGTAATATTTTTAGTTCCATTTTTCAGATGATGAAAGCAGGCCAGAGAAATTAAGAAATTTGCTCAACGTCTGCTAAACCATTTGTAGAAGACCTGCTTCTGGGTCAGGGTTTTGTACGTAGCAGAGCAGCTCCCTTGCTGCGATCTATTGAAAGTCAGCCCTTGACACAAGGGTTTGTAAAAATGAACAAAACAGAAAAAATAGAAATTTGCTCAAGGTCAAACAGGCAGTTGGTGGTAGAGCTGGATTTGAGTCCAGGCAGTCTGGTTCTAGAGTTCATACTCTTATCTCCTTAACTATTTTTGCATGCTTTGCCCCTGAATGAAGTCTGGCCCTTTGATATCCACTGCTGCTGTAAAGCTGTGTGAAAAGGTTTGTCTAGCATGCCCTCCAGCTACTTCTATACATGTCCATGAATTAGCATGACATTCATCTTTGTTGAAATCTTGGGACTCCAACAGAGCCTCAGTTATCTAATAAAGAACATATATTTAAGTTTATAAATGGAAAAATGCAAGAGGTGAAACAACTTGTCTTGGCACTAATATGTAGAGTTTTCTAAATACAATGTTAACATCACCAAGGTCTCTTTCATTTAAGTAAAACCATAACCACTAAAACTAGTTGAGTCTCTGATAAAATCACTATCTCTGAGGGAAGTATCGAATAGCTCCCAGTAGAATGCGCCAGTCAGCTACATGGAGGCTGTGGGCAGCCTGGCCCATTGCTATATTAAAAACTTGGATTGCCCAAAGATCAAGGGCTGTCCTAGTTCTCAGTACAAAGAAGAAGAAACAGACACTGAAAGGGATGAAGAAGGTTACGTTAGAGATGGAAATGGTTAACAGCAAAAACTATCATTATATCACACACACACACACACACAGAGTCTCATGAGGAAAATTCAAATTGCTTGTTTGGCTTTAGTGGTTGAGTCTATCTAAACAATCAGGTAACACTGTAGAGGTGATCACACACACACAATATCTGTTAAATGATCTGAGTTCTGATTATTGCAATAATGGTGTCACCAACTTCATTAAAAACCACAGAGACAAACTCAAACCTGCACTCATATACAACCTGACAAGCCTCTTTGGGTTTTTACAGAAAACCTTTCTAAACATCTCTCGAGTGCACAGTCCTGCATGGCAGTGAGCAGCCATGAAGGGCTGAGTGGGTTTGCTGAAATGGGAACAGATGCAATGGGGGACCCTGGCTCTCCATTCAAGCGCGTCTCGTTCCTCCAGCACACAATGCTGAAGCAATTCCTTTCCCAGGCTTTCTTTTATTTTTTAACATTAGTACAGTGGGAAAAAGTTTCTGCCACAGCAAAGCAATGTCCAGGCTTTTGTGAAACATGTCCTTTTCATCCAATGGGCAAAATAATGTATAGATTCTAATGGAATAAATCTGAAATACTCTACTGTAGAAGATTTGTCCCCATTGAAAACAAATCTTGATTAGATGATTATTCAGGGACTGTATAGGGAGGAATGGTGTGAAAATGCTGACTCCATTCTTTCCTAGATTGGCACTGAATAGGCATTTGGGCTATTCAAAAAAAAAAAGAAAAAGAAAAAGAAAAAGAAAAAAGAAAAAAAATCTCTCACTCTACAAAACCATACAACTTTACAAAGATGATGCGTAGCTGGGGAAGGCCACCCCACCTAAAACCCCCACAGTGGTATGAACACAGAAATGATGGCAGTGAATAAAAATAGTTCTTGAGTGTTTTAAAATACTAACCTGTCTCCTTTTCACTGGAGTACGCATACAGAGGCAGCCTGTGATGGCATTCACTAGAAACACACGAGGAATTCTACTCTGAAAGTGATCATGCATTCTAAGTTACTATGTTCCTTGGGTGAGCACAGTATGGATGGGGCTGAAACAGGAGTGAACACAAAAGGGAACGCCTGCTTGTGCTGAAATAGGTGACAGAGGGCCCAGCTCTCTGTTTTGTAGGAACCCAGCTGCTCTGTCCCTTAAGCTGCGGGGGTCCGGGATAGGACTTAGCATGAGAATAAAAAGCAGCCAGTGCACAAGGGAAAATGAACAAGAAAGGAAACAGCAGGCAATACACTCTCTTTTAATTAGGTGTGAAATCCAGTGCTTCCTCCATCCGGATATGTAAAATGAGAATAGTGCCAGAGATGCTGTAGAGGGAGATGGGAATTTGAAGTCTCTGTGACTTGGGAGGAAACACCAGCCCTCAAATTAAAACCAATAGGAATTTCGGTTAACAGCCCTAAGTCCAAAGGGCCAAAAAGCCCTTGAGCTTTCAATCTGGGCCACCAGGTTCACGTGAGGAAAGTGGGTCAGTACATGAAATAGGGCCAGGGTGGCCAGGCCTCCACAACTCAGCCTCTGCCATCACACTCTTTTCCACCTTGTACCTCGATACCTTTATGCCGAAGCTGTTCTTTCCTAGATGAGCTGATAAGTGATGATCTTAAGCCATCACATGTTGGTCACACCAGGAAAGAGCCATTCCTCTCTGGATAACACAGGGATGCACGTGGTGAATCAGGTTCTTTACTCCCTAAAGCAACATCTGTTGCCCTGCCAGGGGCGGGACTTCAGTGTCTACTTCACCTAAATTCTGAGGGAGACTAGCTGAGGCCATGTGCTACAGGAGGATAGCGGTTGCTAGCGCAGTTTCCACCATCTAGAGCAGATGGCCCTCTCCGTCTCAATGGCTTCTTCACACTCTTTGGAGGGAGGGTGGCTGGCGATACGGGGGAAATCACTTTGTGAATGGAAGGCAACAGGCAGAGCAAGACCTCATTTCCTACCCTGGCTCCATACACCTCGCATACGGCAGGTGCCATTGCCCCTGTGAGTGAACCATGGGAGGGTTATCAGCCTGTGGGAAGGAGCGCAGCCCTGCTTTACTTACCCATTCCTGAGTGGAAAGGGGATGCTTTGGGCCAGCTGCCAGGGGCTGTTCTCCTCTATCTTCCAGATTATCTAGGCCCAGGGTACAAGAACCATTAGAGATCATCATGGTTTTGTGTGCGTTCTTTTAAATAATCGGTAACAGAATTCTTCTCATAAAACATAAATAAATTGTTCAACTT